CGGGGAGCCCCGCTTCATCTCCGTGGGCTACGTGGACGACACGCAGTTCCTGCGCTTCGACAGCGACACCGAGAATCCCAGGATGGAGCCCCGGGCGCCCTGGATGGAGAAGATGGGGCCAGAGTATTGGGAAAGGGAGACACAGACCTCCAAGTGCAACTTACAGAGTCACCAAGTGAGCCTCAACACCCTGCGCGGCTACTACAACCAGAGCGCAGGCGGTGAGTGACCCCGGCCCCTGTAGGAGGTCGCGACCCCTCATGTCCCTCACAGACTATCCCGAGTCCTCAGGATTTCCAGGCCGARCTTCACCCCAAGGCTGAGGGACTCCCGGGGACCCTCTACCCAAAAAGCGCCCTTGGGCACTGTGACCGGTTTYGTTTTCAGTTTAGGAAAAACCCGCGGGGTGGGCGGGGATGGGCCATGGCTGACAGGGCCGGGACAGGCTCTCACACCTTCCAGAGGATGTATGGCTGCGACGTGGGGACAGATGGGCGCCTCCTCCGCGGGTACCTTCAGGATGCCTATGATGGCGCGGATTACATCGCCCTGAATGAAGACCTGCGCTCCTGGACCACCGCAGATGCGGTGGCTGAGATCACCAAGAGGAAGTGGGAGGCAGCCGGTGACGCAGAGAGCTTCAGGGCCTACTTGGAAGAAGATTGCTGGAAGTATCTTGCAGGCTACCTGGAGAAAGGGAAGGAGTCGCTGCTGCGCACAGGTATGAGCAGCTGCTGAACACCTGCCCCATCTCCTGTAGATCTCTCTAGCAGTTCCCAGGAGGAGGGGAGGAGAATGGCGCCCACTGTAGAGCATCGCCCTGCTCATAGTCCAGAGGGAGGGTGTGAGCCTGGATTCCCCAGTTCTGTACTAGAGAGGAACTGAAGGCTGCTTTCTCTGAGGACAAGGAAGGGATCTGGTCGCTCTCTCTGTGGCTGGGGGGAAAGGCAATAAATACCTGACCACAGGTCCCTGTCAGCAGACTTGGCATCAAGGAGAGACTGTCAGGTCCATTCCAGCCTAACGTCCTTGGAGGTCTGACTCCAGCTTTTCCACATGTCCCAACCTGTATCAAGACCAGAATCTGAAGTCTCTGTCAGGGACCTGAAGACTCTTCCACTGGGTTATCTCAATCT